AATTTGTAAGCTGAAAGAATGAGTATCAGAATGGCACCCGTGTCTGGAGCGTATTTGAACTGTATCTGGGAGCTAATTTTGAATGATTATCAGAATGGAATCCATGTCTGGAGCGTATCTGAACTGTATCTGAAAGCTAGTTCTGAATGAGTGTCAGAATGGCATCCGTGTCTGAAGCATATCTGAACTGTATCTGAAAGTTGAATCTGAATGAGTATCAGAATGGCATCCGTGTCTGGAGCATATCTGAACTGTATCTGAGAGTTGAATCTAAATGAGCATCAAAATGGCGTACGTGTCAGGAGCGTATTTGAACTATATCTGAGAAGTTGGATCTGAATGGGTATCAGAATGGCATCCGTGTCTGGAGCATATCTGAACTGTATCTGAGAGTTGAATCTGAATGAGTATCAGAATGGCGTCCGTGTTTGGAGCGTATCTGAACTGTATCTGAGAAGTTGGATTTGAATGAGTATTAGAATGGCATCCGTGTCTAGAGCGTATCTGAACTGTATCTGAAGACTTTGAACATTGTTAATGGTAGCTGTTTGATTAATCTTATCCTAAAAAAGATAAAATGTTGACAAATTTCTGTTTAGAGAAATAAACTCTGTTGTACGGGAAATGTCGTATACTGCTTGTAAAATCCTATTGGGTAATCCTGAGAAATTTGACGATTTCTACTGGGGATCGATAACGGGAAGCTCTGTTCCGTAGGAAATTATGGGGAATTTATGGAAATAGCTTAGAGAGATTTCCCTACCTATTAAAGCCATTATTAATTGTCTTTTATTTTGTTTATTTGTAAACAATAATTATGTTCAAATGCATATGTTCAACAATAAATCATTGGACGTTTTTGTAAACAAAACACAAGAGTAAAGAAAAACAGATATTTTTGTACTTTCAAAGGAATATCTTGGTATTGACTTTGAGTAAGTATTTGTACAATGAGACAAGCATTCTAGTAAGAGAATGTTGTCGTAAAAAATGAAAATTTTGATACAAAGAAAAGATAGCTATGTGCAATAATCCCATGGGGGTCCCATTCTGCTATAGCCTTTGTATCTCCGAGCATCTTGTCTATTTGTTGCCTTGTCCGAAGATGATTGAATTGATCAGAACCTCTGAGTTTGTCAGTTGAAGCCGAAGGTTGTCCGTAAGGTGATCCAATGAGACATAATCATACGCTTTACATTCCCTAACTTTTGCCTGGACTGCCCTTTCGGGTTTTCAGTCCACCGGGAAACCCTTTTTTCCCAAGCCGCCCTTTCAGATTTTCAACTTCCCAGGTATACAGATTTTTTTGTTTTATCCTTAATTTTTTCCCGAACCTTTTTAGTTTGCCGTGATGCCCTTGTTTTGCCTAGGTGTGTCAACCTAGCGGGTCTCTTATGCGTATTATCTTTTGACTATGTACGCGTTCGTAGGATGCGGTAGGTCGTCGCCATCGATAGTGGTCAAGATCATTGCCCCACCAGAGATAATGTTTTTGATTACAAATGGTCCTTCATAGGTAGGAGTTAATTTTCCCCTGGGATCACCTTGTGGCAGTATGATACATTTGATTACAAGATCCCCAACTTGATACACTTGGCGTCTGAACTTTTTGTTGAAAGCCTTGATCATCCATTTTTGATACATTTGACCATGGCAAACAGCAGTAAGTCTCTTCTCATCAATCAAGTTTAGTTGATCAAGTCGAGTCTGAATCCGATCTTCTTCATTCAGCCCTGCATCCTTCATAATTCTTAGAGAGGGGATCTGAACCTCAATAGGCAAGACGACTTCCATGCCGTAAACCAGAGAATAAGGTGTTTCCCCAGTTGATGTGCGAGCTGTGGTACAATACCCGTGGAGAGTGAATGGTAACAACTCATGCCAGTATTTGTATGTGACTGTCATTTTCTGTATGATCTTTTTAATGTTCTTATTTGCAGCTTCGACAACACCATTCATCTTTGGCCGGTAAGGGGAAGAATTGTGATTCTAGATCTTGAATTGCTCGCACAAGGCAGTGATCATAGTGTTGTTAAGATTTGTACCATTGCTAGTGATGATCCTTTCCGGGATACCGTACCGGCAAATGATATCAGGCTTGATGAAACGGGCAACAACATTCTTGGTAACGGAAGCGAAAGAAGCTGCCTCCACCCACTTTGTAAAATAATCAATGGCCACTAAGATGAAGCGGTGTCCATTGGAGGCTGTCGGCTTGATTTACACAATCATATCTATTCCCCACATAGCAAAGGGACAAGGAGCTTTCAAGACATTCAGAGGAATCAGAGGTACGTGCACCTTGTCAGCATAAATCTGACACTTATGGCAAGTACGAGAGTGTTGATAGCAATCTGCTTCCATGGTAGACCAGTAATAGACTGCCCATAGGATTTTCTTTGCCATCGTATACCCACTGGAATGGGTGACAAAAGTTCCTTCATGTAACTCAGTCATGATCCTTTCTTCTTCAACCTTGTCTACGCATCGAAGAAACACAGAGTCATGGTTGCGTTTGTAAAGAATGCCGTTATTAAGGAAAAATTTAGTAGAGAATCTCCTTAAGAACTTCTTATCATTGATTGAAGCTCCTTCTGGATATTCTTGAGCCTCGAGATACTTCTTGACTTCGTGAAACCAAGGATGGTCCACTACTTCTTCAGTATTAATCTCGTGACAGTGCGCTGGTTCCTCCATTCGTTCGATGGTGATCTGGGGAGCCTCATTATCCAAATTAAGTTTAAACATAGATGACATTGTGGCTAGAGCGCCTGCTAGATGATTTTCTTCTCACGGGAAATGCTCGAAGGTAATCTTCTCAAAATGTGGTAGCAACGTTAAAACATGTTCTTTGTAAGGGGATAAGGTTTAGGTGTTTGGTGTCCCATTCCCCTTTGATCTGGCTGATAACCAAAGCTGAGTCTCTGAATACATTTAAGGATTTGATCCCCAAGTCTATGGCAGCTCTGAGACTAAAGATGCATGCTTCGTATTCCGCCATGTTGTTTGTACAATTGAAGCAAAGTATTGCGGTAAAGGGAGTATGACACCCTTCCGGAGATATGAGTATAACAACAATACCATTTCCAAGTGCATTAGATGGCCCGTCAAAGGTCAGGGTCCATCGGGATCCTTGTTCAGTTCTGTCATATGGCCTGAATTCTTCACAGTTATTTACCGTCATGATGTCTTCATCTGGGAATTCAAACTTCATGGACTGGTAGTCTTCCACAGCTTGGTGAGCAAGGTGATAAGCTAGTACACTGCCCTTTATAGCTTTATGGGTAGTATACTGTATGTCATATTCCGTCAGGATCATCTGCCATCTCGCTATTCTCCCAGAAAGAGCAGGCTTCTCGAAGATGTATTTTTTCGGATCCATTTTAGATATCAACAAAGTAGTATGAGTCAGCATATATTGTCTTAGCCGGAGAGCAGCCCATGCTAGAGCACAACAAGTTTTCTCGAGCAGTGAATATCTGGTTTCACAGTCGGTAAACTTTTTACTCAGGTAATAAATAGCATGCTCTTTTCGGCCAGACTCGTCATGCTGCCCCAATACACACCCCATTGAGTTTTCTAAAACAGTCAGATACATGATTAATGGTCTTCCCTCGACTAGTGGCATCAACATAAGAGGCTCTTGTAAGTTTTCTTTGATTTTGTCAAAAGAAACTTGGCACTCGTCATTCCATTTGAATATTTGATCTTTCTTCAACAATTTGAAGATTGGTTCACAAGTATCTGCCAGGTGAGAGATGAATCTGGCAATGTAGTTCAAACGCCCTAAGAATCCTCTGACTTCCTTCTCAGTACGAGGAGCAGGAATCTCTTTTATTGCATTAACTTTGGCAGGATCGACCTCGATACCTTTTTTGCTGACGACAAAGCCTAGGAGTTGTTGCAACTGGTTTTTAAATTAGAGTCACCACCCTTAATTTTTATCATAATGGAAGGGAGTATAAATGAATAACCCTAAAAGAAATTCAGAGATTCTAAGTTTGACTCGGTTCTAGACGAGGGGAAGGTGTTAGGCACCCCTTATCTACCTTGTTCACAAGGATACTAGGTTTAGAAGTGCGATGTTTAGGAAATAGGGTTTTTATTATTAATTAAAGAAAAGAGTTTGAATTTTAGTTAGCGGGACTCGCAACGATTTTTGATCGTATGCCTACGTATCCTCCTTAGGAGGAATCAGAGTCTCATTTTCGTAGTTCGCGGTGTTTGGTTTGTGTTTTTTTTATGGATTGCATAGAATTGCTTTCGAATTAACTTTGAACTTTGTCTGAGTTGTAAACTGAGTGATCGTAGACGCAGTTCGTAGTTTGATTCGAAGATGATGCTATTTAATCCTTTTTGAAAATATCCTGATTTTGATTATGTTAGTAGAAAATGATTTGATGTTGTTGATTAGCTAATTTAAAACGTAGAGCAAAGAAGTCTGATATAACCTCCTCATCACGTGGCCAGATATTGGCCACGTGTCACTCGTGGATGGTGAATTGAATGAATTTTAATATTTCGATATAAAATATTAAATTAATTTAATTAAAAAAATTTGAAATAATGTACCAGTGAAATAATTTTTAAAAGAAAATAATATATGTTTTGCGTTTTTGGTTATTTATTTTAGAAGATTCTAATAAATAGCTTAGAACTAATAACTAAATTTATTAGCATTAAATTAAAACATTAAGGGTATAAATCTTAACTTAGGATGGGCATAAGTAAAATATTATAGGAATAATCTCAGGCCCAATCCAATATAACCCTAATCTTTCTATACTAACTAAATAAATATATGAATAAGCTAAAAATAATATTAAAAAAAAGACTATAGAAAACTGAGGGAGCGATGCGTCTTAGGTGGAACTTTTTCAATTAAAATGACTCATTCAAAATAAGGAGCAACCACTAATTATGCAACAACCATCTTTTTATTAAATAAATAAAATGAAGATAAGAATGACAGAAAACAAGGATTCATCTCTCTCTTCAACTTACGGTTCTCTCTCACAACTCTTTTCTTCTTCATTCTTTCCAAAATCCCTTTTCAATCCAACACAACATTCAAACAAATACACAACAAAAAAATACACGAGAGTAAATGATTGATACCTATGGTAATTATGGACGCGGAGGAGACGGATAGCCTGTGAGCGGACAGGAAGGAGATCGGTGATGAGAGCAGCAGAGACGATGGAAAGTGGGGTTTCGGATATCGAAACCCCAGTTGCCACTTCTTCTTCTACAACAAATTCGCGGCTGAGTTCTTCTTTTTTTGTAAGATTCGCTCCCCTCAGTACCGTTGTTGTCCCTCTCTCTTGGTAATTTTTCTGATTTTATAGCGTTTAGGGCTTTTAGATTTAGGGAAGATAATCAATGCTTTGTCTTTAACAAAAAAGGAAATCAATAACTCTGTCCGCAATTTCTAATTTCAGAAATGATTAGTTTTTTAGATTTGGAAACTTTTCAAAATCGTGTCTGTAATTTTGAACATGGTATCGATTCGCATTAAAATGTTTCTAGTTTTATAGATATTCTACTTTTCTATAATTTACTGCGTTTGATTCGTTTCTGCAATTAGCTGGTTTACTTGATTGTGTTTCCTGCATTCATTGATTCTTGATTAATGAATATGGATCCAGCTGTAAATACATGATTCTATGTTTGATTATTAAGTAATGCCATGTCTTGGATCATAACACATTTTCAAATTGTGAAATAAATTACGTTTCTGCTTTGGGTTCGACACTTAACTGCCATGTTCTGGTTTTAATTCTTCTTCTCAATTCTGACATCTATTTGTGCACTGATTGCAAACTGCCTTTTGCTGGTTTTCGAAATTAATTGGTTCATTGAACTTGTTTTCTTTGGTGGCATACATGGTACTGGTTTTAAAAGGCTACACTGCTATTTTTATCCATTCTGTTTTGTGTGATATTGATGCAAGATTCATCTTTACAGGTATGCTGACATGAAGCCTGCCACAGAGGAGTCTTGGGGGATGGGGCCATGAGGAGCAAGATTAGAGATTGTAGAATATCAGGATATTTTGACTATGTTAGGATAAGCTTAGATCTTAGAATATGCAGTTTTATGTAAAGTTTTTATCCTGTAAAACTCCTGCATATATGCCATTTGTTATGATTCAATTCCAAACTTGTTTTGAATTTGAAACATCTTTTCATTCTTCAATGTATATAAAATGTTAATTCTTTCCATTCTGTTAATTTCTTAAACTCCAAGGTATGGATGAGGTGACTATCATTGATCGCTGTGGAAAGTATCCTAATGTCCCATTGATTGGAACTCATGGAGGGATTTCTTACAACCCATGCTTAGCTCCGTCAGTTTGGAAGAGCCAGAAGAGAAGGGCCTCATGAGATGTTGATGCCTCATATCATCTTTGATTTTCAGGGAGATAGCGGCGAGCTGCGTCGTAGATTCATAAGGGCTTGGGACAGAGTTCACCAATCTGACCCACATGAGTTAGGACCAAAGACTTCTCTGCCAATGGAGCCATATCTCAGATGGGTCCGCATCCGCGCCCAGAAGTTAGGTATGCCATATGAAGCTGTCAGGCCTGTTACTCTTGAAGTTGCTAATGAGGAGGGGGTTCTTCCGACTATTCTCCACCCTTACATGCCCACTGATATTGGGGCACTGAAGAGGTCTTGGATGCAATTGAGGAATGAACGAGATTCCTACCGAGAGAGGTTCAATGAACAGAAGCAGAAGATCCAGAAGCTGACCAGACAGTTGGAGAACGAGCGGATCCTGAATGACTATGTCCGCACTGAGAAGAAGAGACCATGGGAGCATTGATGGACCTTTGATGATTTCTTTTACGGTTTTTGTTTACTTTTTAGTGTTTCCATTCTTGTAACGCCTAAGGGCAGTTTGTTGAACAATTTAAATTTTGAAGTTTAAATCTAATAAAGTGTGTTTCCTTTCTTGTTTACAAATTTGAATCTCGATTGTCTTTGAAATCATAAATCATACGCATTTATCCCATGCACTTCATAAACAGGTACCCCATTACAGGTCTCTTATCTTCTTCGCTGTTTATTTCAGCAATCATCATGTCTACTGAACCTTCAACTGAGCAAGCTATCAAGGCCCTCCAGGCCCAGAATGCCCAGTTTCAAGAGCTGTTCATGAATCTGGCTAAGAGTCAGCAAGACCTGAAGACCTTGATTCTGAAGGAGAAAAAGAAGAAGAAGAAGAAGAAGATGACCATCCTGTTCAATACTGGACGCAGGTTTGGAAACGGGCTGCAGAATGAAGTTGATCTGACCACCTCATCTGGAGGGAAAGATAGTCCACAAGAAAGGAGGGCTCCTAGCCCTATGGTCTTCGACAACGAGATGGACTATGATGAAGAACAGTATCCTCCTGCTGAGGATAAGTACAAACAGTTGGAAGACCGTTTAAGCGCTATGGAGATACAGAAAGTGCCCGGACTGGACTTCATAGATCTGGGTCTATCATCTGGGGTGGTGATTCCCCATAAATTCAAGGCACCTGCCTTTGCCAAGTATGACAGAGCTTCCTGTCCCAAGCTGCACCTCCGGTCATATGTGAGAAAGATCCAGCCTTACACTGCTGATAAGAACTTGTGGATCCATTTCTTTCAAGACAGTCTCTCAGGGACTCAACTTGAGTGGTTCTATCAGTTGGACGGAGCCAGTATCCGTAGCTGGGAGGATTTGGCTACTGCATTTTACAGGCAGTATCAGTACAACTCCGACCTCGCTCCTACGCGTACCCAACTCCAGGGTATGTCAATAGGAACAGGTGAAGGATTTAAAGAGTATGCGCAGAAGTGGAGAGACCTTGCCGGAAGGGTGCAACCACCGTTGGCTGATCGTGAACTTGTTGACATGTTTTTGGGGACCCTGTCTGGTCCATTCTTTAACCACCTAATTGGAAGCTCTTCAGCTGGGTTTACAGATCTTATTTTTACTGGTGAGAGGATTGAAGCTGGTAATAAGGCTGGAAAGATACAGAAGGGTGCCTCATCCAGCACCGAGAAGAAACCGTTTAAGAAAGAGTCCAGTGCTGTCTACAGTTCGAGAAGACAAAATAGACTTGAACACCGCCAAGCTGTCAATGCGGTTGTTATTTCAAAACCTGCTGGTGCTCCTCAGCATCACAATCAACAAAAGGACGAGAGACCTCGAAGGCAATTCACTCGTCTCAGCATGACTTTGTCTCAGATTCTGCCACAGTTGCTGAAGACCAATCTGGTGACTCTAAAAGAAGCTCCGAAGAATCCAAGCACCACATCACCAAAGTACAACCCTAATGCCCGCTGCGCTTTTCACTCTGATAGCCCGGGGCATAATACAGAAGATTGTTGGGTTTTGAGGAACAGGGTGCAAGACCTAATTGATGCAAATGAGATTGAGTTTGAGGCGCCCGAGAGGCCTAATGTTGTGACTGCTCCCATGCCCAAACATGGAGTAAATGCTGTAGAGGAAGACTTGTTTGTAGTTTCCGTGGATGATATTGTCACCCCTCTGATGACTGTCAAGAAGAACCTGTTGCTAGCCGGTTTATTTCCGGGCTGTGGCGAAGGTTGCCATTTGTGTTCTGTTTTACCTACTGGTTGCCCATTTCTGAAGTCAGGTATCTAGAACCTGATGGATAATAAGGAGATCCTGTTTGAGAATATTTTTGTTCCTTCCGTTCATTCTGAAGAAGTCGCCATTATTACCATTTTCAACAATTCTTCCAAGGCTCCCTCGAGGAAGCCTGTTAGGATTACATCTGTTCCGAAGATCGCACCTGTAATCATCACTGTTCCGGGGCCCATCCCCTACACCTATGACAAAGCTGTCCCTTGGCACTATGGGGCAGATGTTTATGTTCTTGGAGTTAAGCAAGAGTTGGATGTTGATACCGGCGTCAGCAACATTACTGGGCCTGCTAAAGTCACCCGCAGCGGTAGACTTTTCTCACTTGATATTGCTCCACCAACTGCCCGAAGACCTGTTGTCATTACACCTGCAAGTGTACCTACTGCCATTCCTGATCAAGTTCTTAGTTCTACCCCTGTCGCGGAGTCATCTAACGCTCAGGGCAAAGGGATCACCACTGATGTGCCTGCCCAGACGGAGGCACCGAAGACTATTACTGTTGAAGCTTCCAAACAGGAGATGGAGGAGATTCTGAAGATTATTAAGAAGAGTGATTATAACGTAGTTGAGCAGCTGGGGCAAACCCCATCCAAGATTTCTATGCTGTCAATGCTGTTGTGTTCAGAGGCCCACACCAGGGCTCTGATTACCTTCCTGAAAACTATGTGCCACAAGAGACATCAGCTGATCAGTTTACCGATTGCATGGCCAATTTAACTGCTGATAATGGTTTGGGTTTCTCCGACGCTGATTTGACTGCTAAAGGGAAGAACCATAATGATGCCCTGCATGTCTCCATTGAATGCAGGGGCACTACTCTTGCACATGTATTGGTTGACACTGGTTCCTCATTGAACGTCTTACCCAAGAAGGCTTTAGATCGGTTAGATTGCGAAGGGTTGGAGCTAAAGCCAAGTAACATCATTGTCAGGGCCTTTGACGGGTCCAAAAGGATGGTACATGGTGAAGTGGATATTCCAATTAAAGTTGGTTCTCAGGTCTTCAATTCTACATTCTACGTGATGGACATTCAGCCATCTTATTCTTGTTTGCTGGGTCGTCCATGGATCCACAAAGCTGGAGCCGTAACCTCAATGCTCCACCAGAAGCTGAAGTACCCGGTCAGAGGGAAGATTGTGACAGTTCAGGGGGAGAAAGAGTACATGGTCAGCCACCTCAACTTGTTCAAATATGTAGAGATGGATGGGGAGTTCATTGAGACCCCATTTCAGCATTTTGAAGAGGTTCCTCAGACACTGGCATCAGCTGAGACTGTGGTTGAAGATTCTCCTATGAATATGGCTTCCTTAAAGGATGCCCGAGATGTTATTGAGAAGGGTTAGTGTGCAAATTGGGGCCGACTTCCTGATTTCACACAGAAGACTAACAAGTTTGGTTTGGGTTTCACTGCAGAAGCTCAAAGGGTTGTTCGAAGTGCAAGGATTGGAAGACCTCCTGTGTTCATCAGCAACTCGGGAGTAAATGCCATTAAAGATGATGTGGAGGAGTCTGAATTCAACAGATGGATCTATCCTACGACCAATGGTGGACCAAGCAAATGGACAACAAATGACTTCATCCCTATTACTTTTGTTAACCAGTAATGAACTCTTTGTTTTGAACTTGTAACAGACAATGCTGTGAAACTTTATGGCCCAGTGTCTTACCCGGGGCACCGTGGCTTCATTTGTGAGGGCTTTTGTGTGCCATTTTCATATATCATTAATAAAAGCATTGGACGTTTCTTGCATTTCAAATTTTGAGCTCCTTGTCTTTCTTTATTATATTGCAAAACAACTATTTTACACACACTCACATACACAGGTCTCAATCCACTCTGGATCTCACTGGTAACGACTCTGCTACTGCCAGTTATGACTTCGAAAATCCGATCAACTTAGCCGAAGACGAAGGTGAAGATGATTGCTAAGTGCTTGGTGAACTTGCAAGACTGCTACTCCAGGAAGAAAGGGCCATTCAGCCACATGAAGAGCCGGTGGAAACAGTGAATATGGGTACTGAAACAGACAAGAAAGAAGTCAAGATCGGTGCAAATCTGGAGCTTAGTGTGAAGCAGTGGTTGATTCAGATGCTGCATGACTATGTTAAGATCTTTGCCTGGTCTTATGAAGATATGCCAGGGTTGGATACTGACATTGTGGTTCATCGCCTGCCTACCAAGGAAGACTGCCCTCCCGTAAAACAGAAGGTTCGCCGTATGTGCCCAGAGATGTCTGAGAAAATCAAGGCCGAGGTTATGAAACAGTTTGATGCCGGTTTTCTAGCAGTGACTTCTTACCCTCAGTGGGTTGCCAATGTGGTTCCGGTACCGAAGAAGGATGGTAAGGTTCGGATGTGTGTTGACTACAGGGATTTGAACAGGGCAAGCCCCAAGGATGACTTCCCTCTGCCTCACATCCACGTTCTGGTTGACAATACTGCTCAGCACAAGGTGTTCTCCTTTATGGATAGTTTCTCCGGTTATAATCAGATAAAGATGGCTCCCGAAGACATGGAGAAGATGACTTTTGTTACTCAGTGGGGCACCTTTTGTTACAAGGTCATGCCTTTTGGACTGAAGAATGCCAGGGCAACATATCAGCGTGCCATGGTTGCTTTGTTTCATGATATGATCCATCATGAGATTGAAGTATACGTCGACAATATGATTGCGAGGTCCCATACTGAGGAAGAACACCTTAACCATCTACAAAAGCTGTTTGACAGATTGAAGTTGTACAAGCTGAGGTTGAACCCGAACAAGTGCACCTTCGGGGTGAGGTCTGGTATGCTACTGGGCTTCATCGTGAGCGACAAAGGTATTCAAGTGGACCCTGCCAAATTAAAAGCCATACAAGGGATGCCGTCTCCCAAGACAAAGAAGGAGGTCAGAGGCTTTCTAGGATGACTGAACTACATTGCCCGATTCATCTCGCACCTAACTGCTACTTGTGAGCTAATCTTCAAGCTACTGAAGAAAGATCAAGTGGTACATTGGAACGATGAATGTCAGGCTGCTTTCGGAAGAATCAAAGAGTATCTCCAGGAGCCACCCATCATAATGCCACCAGTTGAAGGGAGACCTCTGATCTTATACTTAACAGTACTTGACAACTCAATGGGGTGTGTGCTGGGGCAGCATGACTAGTCTGGCCGAAAAGAGCATTCTATTTATTACCTTAG